GAGTTGGGGTTGGGGTGGGGCAACTACATCCAGTAGAGTAACAGCAGGGCCAAGGAGGAGTTCTGTTACATTAACACGTGAAGGTGGAAAGGGCTACTCCATGATCATGATGCCAAATACGGAAAGAGCAGGTCTCTGGGGCATTGTTATCCACTCCTTGAAATCAAGGAAGGAAGATAGGAGTTCTTTTGATCTCTGCCCTGAGCACATGCTGGTACCAGCTTGCCTGCCAAGTTTACTTCAATGCAGAAAAAAAAAGGTTGTATATTAACATTTATCATTGTGTGTGTGTGTGTGTGTGTGTGTGTGTGTGTGTGTGTGTGTGTGCATGCGTGCTTGCACACTTGTGTGGGTGTATGCACAAGCATGTACTTTACTCTGTCCAAACAGAATAAATTAGATTTACTTACTTTGGTCCCTCAGTATATGGTAAATATATTGTAGTACCTTATATTTACCAGTCCACAACTGTCAACATGACAGATGTAATTTTCAGATAAATAAACTGAAACAATCTTGTTTCTAAAGGCAGAGAGATGGCCCAGTGGTTATGAGTGCATAATATTCTCCCAGAGGTACTGTTTGATATACAGTACCTATGTCAGATGTCTCACAACTGCCTGGAGTTGCAGCTTCACTGATCCTATGGCCTCTTCTGGCTTCTGAGGTACCTGCACTCATGTGTACATAGCTACTCACAGACACACTTGCATAATTAAAAGTGAGCTTAAAAAATAGTTATGTCCATATGCTTTACAAAGGCTGAAGGTAGAGGGCAATTAATTATTCAATTAGCATTTTATCTTTCAAATGAGCATATATTACATGTTTATGGAGTGTGATATTCTATGTATGACCAAAGTGGGCTGATTAGCCTTTCAATCTCTTTAAACGCCAATCACTTCTTTGTGCTGCGAACCTTTGGACTTTTTCTAATTGTTTTTGAAATGCATTCTAAATTGTGGTGTCTTGTGGCTACCTCATTGTATCAGGTAACATTGTATCAGGAACTAATTCTTCCTCCAGTCACATTTGGTAACTGATCTCTAACCTCTGTGTCCATCCCCTCCACCCCTCCTGGGCTTCAGCAACCTCTAGTCCTCCTCTTGAGCCCAGCCAGTCTTTTAGCTTCCACTCGTGAGTGAGAACACGTGGGTGTGACTTCCTGTGTCTGGCTTATTACATTTAATACGATATACTCCAGTTCCATCCAGTCCTGCAAGTGACTGGATTTCATTCTTTGACTCTGGCTGAATAACATCCACTCATATAGATGTAGACACTTACATCATCTCTATATACGTATTTTTTTTCTTCATCCCTTCATCCACTGACACATATTCTTCCTTCATCGGAGCATGGATGTCATGGTTGGCTCCATACCTTGCTTATTAGAAATGGGGTTACAATAGACATGAGAGGGAAAGTGTCTTCAGTATAGCATTTTATTTCCATTATGGCTATGTAATGGGATGCCTGGGGATTCTATTTCCGGTTGTTTTTGGAAATTCCAACCAGAATTAGTTGGCCGCAGCGTCTAGGTCAGTAAAATGCCCCAGAATGTCCCCTGGTGAAAGAAAAAAAAAACATTCTTTTTCTGCAGAGAGCACATGTGAGCTACTAAACACGCATGGCCATGAGGAACATTATTTGCCATCTTCTCTTTTTCATGAATGTGAGTTTAGAATGTGTGTGTGGCTGTGCCATATTGGATGGTATAGGTGTAGAGCAGTGTGCAATGGGTTTGTTAATGCTGAGACAGGGTCTTACTATATAGCCCTGGCTGGTCAAAACTCACTGTATAGATAAGGCTGGTCTTAAACTTGTGGCTGTCCTTCTGCCTCTGCCTCTCAAGGGCTAGGATGACAGCTGTTATGGAACATGCCCAACTGCTTTTAGTATTTTCAAGATAAAAAAGATCAAGGCTGGCAATGTAGCTCAGTGGTAGAGCTCTTGCCTAACACAGCTAAGGCCCAGAACTCCATCCCAGTATTGTGATATATATATGTGCGTGTGTATTATGTATACTCATATACAATATGTGCATATATTTATGAGTGTATATGTGTGTGCATACATGTGTACATGTGAGAGAGATTTTTCTTTCTCTCAAGCTTGCTTCAAAGTAGAGAGAAAGATAAAATGTACATATGACTTTAAATAAAAGTCCCAGTCAAATATGTATGGAATTTATCAAAATGTAAAGTGTATATGAAAGATAAGAGCCCCAGGAATGGCCAGGTTCATTCTGAAACCAGGGGCAAGCTGAGTGGGGGAGGAGAGGCGGGACTTGCTCTGCTAGTTGTTAGACTGTGATAGACAGGGGTGAACAGTGCCACCAGCTTGAGGACAGACAGACAGCCACTGGACGGGATGAAGGGCACAGGTCAGGGTCTTCCAGCATAGCTAGGAATCTCATAAAGACAGAGGCAGAGCTGTAAATCTAGGCAAAGTTAAGCACATTCAGATAGCTGCTTGATCATATGGAAGACGTAAGTAAAATTAGATCCTACCATATTCTGCACAGGATTAGTTCCAGAGACATTAAAATTCAATGTGAAAATACAATTTAATAAGGCTATATAAAGGCCTAGGGTATAGCTCAGTGCAGACTAGCACTAGGTGCTAGACGTGTGTGTGTGTGTGTGTGTGTGTGTGTGTGTGTGTGTGTGTGTCTGAGAAAGCATTTAAAATCTTAGTAAAACATGATTTTTATAACAAGACACACAAAGCAGGAACCATGAAAAATGTATACTCTATTCCATCCAAATTGAGATTTCTTAGAGTATCAGAGAAACAGACATTAATCCACAGACTGAGAAGATGGTGCTTGTGTTGTTACACTGGTTTATCAGTGAGCAAAACTCACAAATATACAATGTTGGCACACCCAACAAGTCCTCAAGAAACAGAAAGTGCAAGCAGGAGACAGAAAGAAAAATAGGTTAGGACTTGGAAAGAGCATTGAGACATGAGGGTTTGATTTGGAGAACAAAGCGAGCTACTGAACATAGAACCTCCAGGCTGCCTCATGGAAAGTCATCCCTCAGAACTGGCTGGTCCAGAGGACAGCAGCAGCAGTGCCTGTAGGGGCTGACCATCAGTGAGGCACCAGAAGTAGGACGACAGGGCACACTTAAGAGTGGCAGGGCATGACAAGCAGCCTGCAGTTATCACACAAATGTTTGCTAAATACCTACTGTGCACTAATGTTGGTGCTAAAGTGAAAGCCCAGAGCAAACTTTTTCCCTGCATGAAACTTGGGATGTAGGGGAGCAACAGATCAACAAGGGAGTGAGTAAAACGATAAGATGAATGGATAAACACACACAGGGATTAGCTGATGATGAGGGCAAAAACGGGAGCTTGGGATGCACTTATTCGGGGAAAGTGATTGAGTGTCACCTTTCAGTGGCATCTGAGTTAAAGACTGGGGAGTGAGAGGGACTGGGGTGCCACTGAAATTCTGAGTCTGGGGTAGGCAGGATGTGCATTCACCAAAAGCTAGGTCATCAGGCAGAAGAGAGTTAGAGAAGGAAGACCCAGGGGCTGGAGAGATGGCTCAGAGGTTAAGAGCACTGGCTGCTCTTCCAGAGGTCCTGAATTCAGTTCCCAGCAACCACATGGGTGCTCACAACCATCCCTAATGAGAGGAGAGACCCAGTCTGGGGTGGGGTCCAGGAGACAAATGGGACCAGAGTGAGGTGTGAAATACACAAATACAGAAGTGACTGGGGAGTAGATAGACGGTGTGTGTGTGTGTGTGAGAGAGAGAGAGAGAGAGAGAGAGAGAGAGAGAGAGAGAGACATACAGACACACACACACACACACAGAGAGAGACAGACAGAGATACACAGAAAGAGTCAGACACACCCTCCCACCTGTGCTCACCAGGCAGCCCTTGATTCAAACACAGAGAGACAGAGAGAGAGAGAAGAGAGAGAGAGAGAAGAGAGAGAGAGAAGAGAGAGAGAAGAGAGAGAGAGGGAGAGAGAGGGGAGAGAGAGGAGAGAGAGAGGGGAGAGAGAGTGGAGAGAGAGAGGAGAGAGAGAGAAGAGAGATGAGAGAAAGGGAGATAGGAGAAAGAGGGGAGAGAGAAGAGAGAGAGGAGAGAGAAGAGAGAGAAGAGAGAGAGAGAGAGAGAGAGAGAGAGAGAGAGAGAGAGAGAGAGAAACCCACACATATTGTGATCCCACCAGTTCTTGGGCCCACCCATGCATGGTAAAGTAGTAATGGTGAAAACTCTGAGCACTTTTCTGGTACTTTCCTCTTGTTAATCCTCTTTCCTCTTGTTAATGTGTAGGGTCTTCACAGGGACCCTACAAAATAGGTATGTTAGTCTCATTTAAAAGCTGGGAAAACCATGGCTAGCCAATTGAATTTCTCAAGATCACAAGTAATAAAGGGATGAGATGGGCTGGAACAGGGCAGCCTGGCTCCAGCATTCCTGCTGTGGGGAACGGAGCTCAATCTGCACTCTTTGGATCCTTTGAGAAAGTTAGCAAAAGGATGGTTGATAGCATGAGGTGGATCCCGGGAGAAGAGCTGGCTTAAGGCTGGCTGATGGCATGAGTTTGGGGGATAGGGTGGGGTAACCTGGAGAAGAGCTGGCTGGAGAAATTAGAGTAATTTAGATTGTACTGACACAGATGCACTGGGGTCAGCACTGGTGAACCTGCAACCTGGCAGCTGATTGCTAACCCACTGGGCCAGGTGATGGGTTGCGGACCACATATGCTGAGCATCCTACAGGGTCTGCAGATCTTTGAGGGGCAACAACGACGCTGTAATGGATTCAAACCGACCAAACACCACTGTTTCCCAGAGGTTCAGGATGGGAATATATGCAAAGCATTTTGCCTTAAAGTGGTCCCTTCTCCTCTTTAACTTCAGGACTAAGCAACTCTCTTAGACCCGTGGGCTGCCCCTCTGTCCTGCTGGAATAGTTAGCCAGTTTCTGCCATGTCTCCAACATGCCACCCAGGGCTCTAGGCGTGTGATGAGGCAGGGGCAGGTGTGAAGTCCTGTTCCTGGAGGTGGCTCTCTGTCACCTTCGGAGTTCAGCGCCTTCGGCTCCAGCAGCCTCAGAGCACTGGAGGCTTTTTCCTGGAGTTCAGCGAGGCTGGGTGATCCTGGAACTCAGGGAACTCCGACCCGGGTGTCTCTTTAGGGCCGGCTACAGGTCCGAGGCCTTGGTGTACGGTGGCACTATTCG